AGAATGTCTTCTGAGGTGTCCTGCCCATTGGAGTCGTCCGGACTTTATTTCTTTTATGATGTTTGCGTCTGGGTAAAGTTCTTCGAGCTCTTTGTTAGTTCTTATCCTATATTGTCCTGATGCTTCATCCAGCACAGGACCAAAGATCTTCCTTAGGGTTTTTCTTTCCCAAACACATAGTCTCTCTTCGTTTGCCTTTGTTATTGTCCACGTTTCGCTTCCATACATCACAACGGGTCATATGATTGTTTTATAGACCTGTATCTTCGTACGTCGTAGTCGTACGCAATACAGAACTGGACGACAAAAACTATTCAAAAACTCTTCTTCTTCTTATTCTTTTTTTGGGCTATGTCCTAGACGATTTACCCAGTTTAGTTCGAGGGTAGACACTTTTTGTCTTGCCTAACCTATCTTTAGCTTTTTTTTAAATTCTTCATAGGCTAAAATTTTAGTAAGACAACACAACAAAGGATCGTCTTTGACTCCAATTCTGAATAGATGAAGAGGAGATGAACAATGACCCGTTCTCATATGGATGATTGTAGTTAAATGTCTCCTACTTATATATGCGAATTTATTGAACCATGGTAGTGTGTGGATTCATTTATTAATTTTAACATAGAATGAATTACTTGTGCCATATTCTTCGTACCATTCAGCTGCCCAATTAGACCAAATCTCTCTTTTTAAGTAGTGTGTAAAATTTGAAAACTGTAGCTTGATATTCATGGGAATATTCAAGGAACGACCCATATTGGCACGTTGGTCAGCCTTGTAGTTTCCAATAATAGCAGTGTGTTCTGGGATCCATGCTAGTAAGATTTTGATATTATTGTTTCTTGTTAGGATAATTCTTCTTTTCGTTAAATACGAGATATGTTCTGTGTCTTTAGAAAACCCTGTTTTTTTATTTTTTGTAATGCACTTTTTGAGTCAAAAAAGATACTGGTTTCTGTGATATTTTGTTCCAGTACATATTTGGGTAAGATTCGGTAGTTTAGATGAAAATGAATAGTTTATATCTGAGGAAAAAACTCCAAACCCCCATTTTTCTAAGAGTAGCTATGAATATGGGTTTTTTCTTATTTCTCCAGTATTTATTGTCCATCTTACAAAGTGCTTCTAATTCAACGATTTATTGAATGACAGGGTCGTTTTTAACACTTAGGTTTTTTAGCAAACATTTTGTTGTGAGCCATTCTCTTCTGTATTTTAATGGCAATTCTGCAGACTCTGATAACAAGGCTTGGATTGGAGTTGATTTCATGCATGCTGTGCTGTCCATAATTCGGGTAGATACTTTGGTAATGCATCTGATCTAGTTTCTTCAATATATATTTAGGGCATGTAGAAAGGAATTGACCCTCATAGTTTAAATGACTTAAGATAAGTGCTTTATGGGTCAGTTTTAATATTTTTGGGTCCCTGCCATATTCAAAAACTCAATTACTACTACTTGAACTGTCAACTTCCTATTTATATACCCTTTCTAACATTCCAAGCTTTACGAAACATTTCGGTACTTTTCGATGACCGATCTAAAACATTCTAGATTTTTAATTCTTCTTTTTCGTCAGGGGACTTTTTTATATAGAATATAAATCTTACGGAATTGTCATAACACTTATTCTATCTTTACAGCTATTCGCCCGAAATAATTGGTCTATCAGGAGCCGACTGAAGCCAACAGGGTCGATCAGCTCTATGGTATGGAGCTAATCTCTCGAAATGCACTACCTTGGGTTTATTCTAGCCGAAATCTGGATGCGGTAGATTTGATAATTTATTTTCTGCAAAATGGTGTACAGACCCTTCAAGTTTCGTTGAAGTTTCGGCAAAGTATTTTCTTAAGTTTAGGTTTGTATAACCATAACTCTTTGACTGGCTTTGTCTTTTGAATGTCGAGACTGGCTTTGACTTTATATTTTCTAATTTTTGCTTTTAAATCTTCGATGAATGTCAGAAACAGGGACGAACGATCTTCTTCGGAAGGAAGCAATCTTTAAAAAATAAGATTTTGAGGAAGCTTCATTTCTCTTCCATTCCCTTCGGAACTTCTATAGGCTAACAGGAATAGAGGAATGAAAGTAACTCAATATTTTTATTATCAGCCTTCTTCTTCTTCTTATAGTACCGTGCACCTATAGTGCTTTGACGAATTATCTTAAGGCCAGACGTCTGTCTTTGCGGCATGCAAAAGATCGCCAGTTTTATTTATGACTGTCCAGTTCTTTATGTTTCGTAGCCATGACATTTGTTTGCGACCTACTCCTCTCTTGCCTTTAATCTTTTCCTGGATGCTTAGTTGAGGGATTGCGTATTGTTTCCTCTTAGAATATGGCCGAGGTATCCAATTTTTCGTACCTTGATCAAATTGAGTAGTTCTCTCTCAGTATTTGCCCTTCTTAGGACTTCCTCGTTTCTCACCCTATCTGTCCATGGTATGCGGAACATTCTTCGCAACGTCCACATTTCGAAGACCTCCAACTTATAAATGAAACGTACTTTTAACCTCCATGTTTCCACGCCGTATAACAATATGGACCATACATAGCATTTAACCATCCTGTAGAGGAGATTGAAGGAAAGATTGCAGTTACATAGTAGCGGTTTAAATTTGATAAAAGATTATCTTGCTTGTTCGGTACAGAATTTTATTTCTTGTTGAGGATCCCATTGGTCATTCATCATCATTCCCAAGTATTTAAATGTTTTCAGTTGATCGGTTGGAGAGCCCTTGTGGTGTTTATTTTGGTGGTTTTAACTTTTTCTCCGGTTTTCTGAGTTTAATGTTGACGTTTTCTAAGTAATAGATTATGGTTGGATGCTTGGATAGGATTTTTTCGCTTTGTACTCCATTACGAAACCTTTTGTTAATCGTTATAAAATCTATTTGGTTTCTGACTATATTGTTGGTGTTAGAGTTTTAGAAGTCCACGTGTATAATCTTTGTGAGGTTAGGTGGTAGTATTTGTTCTGACTAATTATTTCTCCTGGCAGTACTGGACTAGTCTATCACCTCTTTAGTTTCTTTTACCTAACTCAAAATTTCCTAAAATATTTCTAGTTTTCCTCGACCGACTTTAGCATTAAAGTCTCCCATAATTATTTTTACCTCCTGCGTCTTTATGTTTTTTGTTAACAACTCTCAATCCGCGCAGAATTTTTCGACTTCAGCATCATTGCTAAGATGGATTAGATTTATGATTAGAAGTTTGGATTTCAGCTTAAGTAGCATCATACGTTCGTTAAAGTGAATGAAATTTGTCACAAACTCTTTTAAATTATTGTTTTGATAATAATACCAACACCATGGCTGTGTTCTCCAGTGCTTTTGCCTGAGTTGAAGATAGTATTATTATCCTTAAAGTAGTTTCCAGAATTTGGCCATCGAACTTCTGAAAGGCGCAATACTTGTATGTCTAAGCTTTCTATTTCTAGCATGACTGTCGTTAATTTTACTGCTTCATAAAGTGTTCTTATATTCCACGTTGCTATGCGTTTTAAATCGCTTACACTAAATTTGTTTTTCTATTGGGGATTCTTCGCACCCCTGTCCCATTAAAGGGACGCCGGGCACTCGGGGCCACGGATTTGTGGCTGCTCTTGAGAAATCCTTAGGGATCGTTAATGCAGTGGTTTCTCCTTGCTTTCTGCATCCTTATGTCGTTGATCTTGGTTCATCCGCCTTTGAAATCGAATTCTCAATCTCAGGATAAAAGAGTGCCCTCTCACTTACTGACTCATCCGCCTGAAGCCCTTGGTCAGTCAGTGGGGGTTTGCTTATATCGGCAAACATTCTAAAATAATTAAATACTGAATATATTTGTTTAGAAATACAATATATTAATTGTAAAAACATCTGAAACCATAGTTTCACAATATTCAATGTACGCCAATGTGGTCAAGAAAACAATGAATACATAAGCATGTATAAACACATGGGACAGGTGTCACAGATATTTAAAAGATAAATGGGTAGAATACGGAACGAAATTGACAGAACATGAACACTTATTTATAATAGGGATAAAAGAGATAATACGAATCATCGAACGTATTTTACTGAATGTTTTTGTTCAAACAAAATTTTAGGATTAATATATTATGGAATTTATCTAATATATTGCTCACTACGAAAATAAAGGTAGTTTTATTAATTATCTTGCCTCTCTGTTGCGTAGCGAGATCTATCTCCACGGATTATACCCTATACAGAAGCTTCTGAAAAAACACAGAGTATATTTTATTATCTTTTATTTTGTGATATTGACGATTTATGTAATTTTAGCAAATTTTAATTGATTGTTTTTTTTTGAGTTTTTGTAAGCTTTTTCCATACAATTGTACAATTTTCAGTGACAATAAAGCATATTTCTATTCTATTCTTATTGAAATGAATATTAATGTCAATATTTTCTTATTTTTTGATGATTTTAATACTACAAAAACAATGTTTCAAAAATAATTACATATTTAATTTTAAACCAGCTAAAAGTGCCAAGTCGATTTTTCCCCAAGTTAATTTTTGAACACAGTCTGTACAATCATTGACAATTTATAATAGTCTTAAACTGATATAAAATCAATTGTATTAACTATCTCTCTCTGTGTCCTACATTTACGGCATATTTTTTGTCACTACGCAATAATAAATGAACGGCTGAAAATTAATATTTAAAATCGTTGAGGGCCTCAGGTGTGGGTAGTAATATATTAGTTATGATTTTACAATATACACAATGAAGTCCATTTCTGTCTCTTCGCCCTTGCGCAGTGTCGCGTCCCTGCAGGAGTTCTGTTTCTGTTTTCCCAACCGTTTCCCGGTGCTCGGAGACGAAAACATTTGGTTTTCCACACATCAGCACCACCTTTATATAATAAGGGCGTCAGAGGTCGATGTGGAACTCTAAAAATTGAGTGTGGGGGGTTAAAGGTGAGTTTCAAAACGATTCTCACCGATGCAATTTATAGATCGATACTTCTATAGTAACCGTATGTTTTTCAGTACATCTCAGGCCAGACCACATGTCGATGGTTCAGTGAGGATAAGGGCAAATGATTTTATTCTTGTTACCACAGCACAGGGGTTTGTTGCAAGAGAAGCAGGATGGAACAAGCGGAAAGACAGTACAGGTATGTACTTATCCCATTTTTTTACTAATAACAGGTGTCTTTTTATAACTTACGCAATATTGAACCTGCATTTTCAACAATTTTGTAGTATCTGGTAGCAAAATAATTACAATATTTAACATTGAATATAAAAAAAATATTAAGGCATAGAAATTGTTTTGATTGATGGCAGCTATTGATTTTTATGTTTTTGTAATGTATATTTAATCATTTACGCCAACTTCGCATTTTATGTGGCTTCATAAAACTCTTTTATTAATATTTTTTACGACATGCATTGCTGGATAAATGAAAGGAAAGGGTGTATTTACATGTCTAACTTTAATGCTACTAATACTTAAAATAAACTTTAAAATTATTATTTAGCTTCTACTTTTCTTTCGGAATTTGGTGTAAGTAATTTCACTCTATGCACATTTAAATAAGTATTTTCTTTTTTGGTATAAATTTCTTGATAGAGTAGAAGCGTTTAATAAATCTGTGGTTAGAAGGCAAAAGGGGATAACTCCCATTTGGAAGTTTTTCAGTACATACATTTTTAGTTCATGTGGTCTTTTTGTTACCTTATAGACGCAATATTAGTAACGTTTGTATCTTTCTAGATCCAACTTACATTCTGTTAGATATATGTAAGTGTTTTTTCTTAAATTAATATCTATGTGTCCAATATTTTGATAAATAAAAAATATTTTAGGATATTTATTATTTCAAGAAAGCATAAGGAGATAAGTCAAGTTATAGTGGAAATGGACATAAAATCATCTTGGTAAAGGGGGTTACGTAGATTTATACCCTTATGCTCGGTAGTAACTTGGCTAACATTATAGCATTGTAATGTTAACTGCAGTTATTTTTACTTACAACGGGTAACCACAATAAAGCAAAGAAAATATTTTGTTCCGGATATAGCATTGACAAAACAAGAAATAAAACGTAAATTTTTCCAAAAAATTTATTAAACATGGAGGTTTCTACAGCAATCTGATGATACGTTTACAAATTAATAATTGATCAAGATGATACTTAGAAAGAGAATTAAAGGTGCATTCTAAACACAAAATAAAAACATATATTCTATATAATACGAACAGAATAGTTTTCGCAGGAAGAAAAAAAATTTTGATGAACACAAATATTTTTCGAAAGCCGTTTCTTTAAAATAATAAATTACACAAATATTTGTTTTAGAATATTTTAGTAAAAATTGTCTTCACTAAAATAATTATCTATGTCTGGATCTGTGTCAGCAGTATTAACCAGATCTTTCAGAATTTTGTGGGATTTGGGCAAGTCCACGATAAAATTCTTTTGCACTCTCATCAACTAACTCAATAAGGTCTAAAAGATCGCTTACTTTTTTTTCACTTATTTGTCTTGGCTTATCATACAAATTATCTAAAGTAATGTTCTTGATATCGATAGGTGTATCTTTTTTTTTGTCTTCTAAAATTTATTTCTTGAAATGGCTCATATTCCTGAAGCGATGTTTTAAAATTAATAATATCAAATTCCTTGGTGTATCTTAGCCATTTCATATTTCTCCAGCAAATTTCAGTCATATTGTCTGTCTTCTTTCTCTTTATTAACATTCCTTTGAATAAATTTTTAAAATTAAAAAAAGATTTGGGGTCATTTCAACTACCGTAAACTTACTTTTTTCTATTTGCTTTGTTTCCTCTGTTTTTTTTTGTTTGGCGGTAGTAGTACGTTTAGTTCCTGCAGATCTTATTAAGTTATACCAATCTCTAGGTACATGGATAGGAAATGGGCATTTTTTTCTATTTTTGCATGATCTACGTCACACTTCATGTGAGTATAGCCAGGCACTAAAAATTTATGATCAATTACCTTTAAGTTATTATTTTGACTTAATAAAAGCGTAAACATTGCTGCCACAAATGAGTTTTTATTTTGTCCGCCACAAGTATCACTGTATAAAATGACGTGCTCTATTTAAGAAAGTAAATTAACAAAACTCTTAAATAAACAAGAAGCAATTTCGTTGTCACCTCGTCCCGTGATACCTTCATGTCACATATGAAGGTGTAGTAAGTCAAATACAAATATTTTTTGACTTTTGCTGTTTATACATTTTAATTTGTCTAATCTGTTTGACTCGTAAGCAGTTTCAGCTTCTGTATGATGATCTGCTAATAAATTCTCATACTTTTTCCTTGCATCAGCTGTCTCACCGATATTTATATGATTGTGAAAAATATCACAACTGTTACAGGCATCGTTGCTTGGTTTTTTAAACTTTAAGCCTAATTTATCAATTGTTTGAGAGTAAACTTTATAAGAAACCGGTTCAGATGTTATGTCCTTGGTATACAATGGATACATCTTAGCTTTTGTTAATTCTGCTACTAGATACTTTTTACTAGTACGTTTTCTTGAGTAGTGAGACTCATAGGCAGGAAATTTTGATATGTGGCTATAGACGAGTTTCATTATAGATTCAGAAATTTTGGTTTTTGGTCCATGCCTGCCTCTGCCATCAGCCATAGTAATACCACAGTTGGAGGACATTTTTTTGTAACAGTTTCTATAAATGTATTACTTTCATCAAAAATAGCACAAAAACATATCTTGCAGCATTGGATTCTTTCTCCTTGGATTTCTATAAAATATGTAAAACTCTTTTCCCTATTTTTTTAAGGTTTATCAATATCACTTTTGTTAGTAGTAATCTTCTTTTCAGAAATTTGAATTAATAAGGCAATGTAAATTCGTGTATGGATAATTCTGAGAAAAGTTTTAAGGACATGAGACATCAAGCTTAATATTCGATAATCATTTCATTGTGAGGAATTCTATTTTTGTGGTAATGCTACGAATGTTGATTTTAGCCAGTCTGTTGGTATTTTACCTGTGTGATAATATATCTTATTGAATAGTGTTGTTATTAAGTCTAGGCTTTTACTTTCATTATCAGCAATTAGTTTTAGTATTTCGACATTGATATTGTCTGGACCGGTGGTTTTTCCATCTTTCTGAGATTTTACTGCGTGAATCACTTCTTCTTTGGTTATTTCTGGGCCTTCTTCATTTATTCGATTATCTGTGGATGGTGGAGAACAAGTCCTATCGTCGTCAACAAGAGTTTGTATGTATTCTGTCCATCTCTCTAGTTTGTCTTCTACCATAATTATTTCGTATCATTTTTTAATATTGTTGCTTGTCTCTTTTTGTGTCTACCTCTCATTTCTTTTACTTTTTTATGAATTGACATAACTTTGAACTACTTGATATTTTGTAATAAAAATGGACATGTTACTTTCTTGTTCTGAAAGCATTTTTCATAAAAAAAAAACAAAAAAAGATACAAAAATTTTTTTAAAATAATGTGTTAAACTAATGATGCCACAAAATTCATTTGATTTGAACGTACTCCAAAGTTTGGGGGGATTTAGGGCTGCACACCTCCCTTAAAATTTTTCTGTCCGCTTAGATTTTGTTGTTTCTTTTTTATGCAAAATGCTTTCAGAACAAGAAAGTAACGTGTCCATTTTTATTAAAAAATGTCAAGTAGTTTAGAAGATAATGCAAAAAAACAATTTTTATTTTGTAACTTCAAAGGGCTGTACCTTTTTTGTGTACACTTTTGTACTAAGGTAAGTTGGATTCAATCAATTTATTTTTGTCCCCGGAATGCGTGATTTAATTTATAACTTTTTAAACACCCTGTATTTGTGTGTCTTTTAAGTCTTGATTAATACGCTTATGAAACGTCTATTATTACTGTCTTGCATATATCATTTTTTGGTATCAGAATTATCAAATTGTCGTGTTATCCAATTATGTCCAATTATTATTACTATGACTCAAATTATAACGAGAAGACAGCCTAGAGTGTCTTATAACATATTCTAATGGAATGCTTGGCTGCCTGGTTATTAGATAATTACAGAGTAAGGAAGGGATGGAAGTTCCAAATTAAAAGTTTCGTAGTATTATATCGTATATCTTGAATTATCTTGAAAAGTATATCTTGTTATTTGTTGTGAATAAAGACCCCGCTTTCAAGAATAATTTCAAATAAGTAATGTTTAAATCCATGATGAAAAGGTTGCCAATCTCAGTAATGTTCAAACTCTTCAATTTTAATAAATCCTCTTATACCAAATCCATGTCTCTCACTCACAATAAATAACAATATATACATAAGTTATGTATATAACATAAGTTATATTTTTGATTTTACGATAACCGACAACATAAAAACAGACTACAATAAACACAATTTATTTTCCAGATAACTTACTTTTTGGTATTTTATTTGACAAATAAATATTTTATATTTTATCTGTCAAATAAATGTATTCATGCCAGTTGGTAGGTTCAGATTTCTTTCCTAAGTGGTGCTAGGTGTTTAAATCTAAACTAACATAACGCTTCAAATAATTTTGTTTATTAAATAATATCTTAAAATTAATGATATTATTAACCCGGTGTCACCCAGGTGAAAAATGTGTGTATAATAACCCAAGTGGGGTATTATTGACCCCATTTAAAATTGATTGGAAAAACTCAACAAACATTTCGAATACAAATTTATTTGACTAGGTATCTTAGTTTTAGATAAAACAGCAGTTTTTACCACTCGATTAAATTTGACCGTGTATTAGGTAGAAGATACTGATTCAAAATAAGAGATTTTCCAAAAAAGTTTTTTCAAAAGTTTCAAATAAAATTATAAAAAGCAGGACATTGGATATCCAAGCTTGAAAAAAGTTAGGAGTCCCGGAACTGGATACATTCATTGCAAATGCGATGAAGGTGATCTAAACAATAAAAATTTTGGCATTGATCGCACGTTTGTTTAGTTTTCCGGTCAGATTTTCTGGAACACTTTTGACAACGTCCACGTCCCGTACGTTGCTTTTTCGGTGGAGCTTGGTCACTTTCTCCCAAAACTTGAACAATTTTGGATCGTAAATGTTTTGTAAGTCGCGGAATACTTTTTCGTTCTTCCATAATTGCGTAACTAATGCTAATCC